TGCCTTTGTGTGGGCCCTTCGGGAATAGTGGGTGGTGCAGTGGAAACAGCGTGGAGCCAGAAGTCATGCTGACCTCATTTGAGCCGCAGTTCCTGCACTTACTATCCTGGGGGACCCGAGATGAATATTTTAATCCTCGTGAGCCTCAGTTTATTCAGCTGTTAAGCAATGGTGAAATACAAACACTGTTTAAAGAATTAAAGATTATTTAACTATGGTACAAAGCAAGTAGGAGGTATTTTGTCAATTCTCATTATTGACATTATATTATATATGACTATATATTTATATATAGGTAATTGCATTATTCCATAACTGAAATTATACATATTTATATCAGAGATGCTCTCTGAAGGAAATGATAAGGTCTGGCTAAGGACTTAGTAAACAACAAAAAAAGTTTTAAAGAATTCATAGACAAATTGGGGTAGGGTATAGTATTTACATTTTTAAAGAAGTGATTTAAAAACACGCAAACCTTGTCTTTGTTCCACAATGTCCAGATATTCAGCTGGGAAAACTCAGAGGCTATGGGTGAGTGTTTGAATGTTACTGCGTTTTCCAAGTGATTTGGCAGAAAAATTTTTTAAACGGGGTCAGCTACTCTAGCGCATTTAGGAGCTATGGCGGTATAAATGGCCAGGAAAACCGATAGATGCCAACTGAAGACCAATGAAATATTAAGAGAAATCCCTGAAAAGATAATATAACCTGAATAAAAAATAAGAGTTGATTTTGATATAGTGTTTTAAGAACTTGGCTGTTACATAAAGTGTGGTACATTTATCTGTGATTCATGGGAAGAATATTTATTATTTTAGAAACAATAACTTCACATATCAGGATATATACATTAATTACTATATGTAGAAATAGTAGGACATAACAGACTGGATTGAGATCACACTTGACTTTTGAAATAGCCAGTGTGTAAGAACAACTAAAACACTCATTGGGTTTGTCTAGGCTGAACTTCTATTTCTGCTGCTAATTAAAACTAATTTTCAAACAAACGCCCCACAGCTAGATGGCCACGTTTTAAAGCCATTAAAGTGTCTCTACTCATCCGGGTTCACAAGCCTCAGTTCTGTATAAAAAAGAAGTTTAAAAACACCCTGAATTGTAAGCAATCAAAACACCATCCAAAACTACCAACATGGTTTACTAACAAAGGAAAATCCATAGTAATTCACTTTTTCCTTTCCACTCTTCACACAACAAAACAAGAAACAATAGGTAGTATAGAAAAGCAACTAAAATGAAATCTAAGTACAAGGAAATAGTTAGCTTCAGATTTCTCATTTTTCTCCCCTTTGTCCTGACAAAATTGCTTCCTCTCTTCCTAATAAAACAATGTTTTCTCTTGCCTCTTTCATTAACCCTAGGCTTCTAAGGAATCTTAGTAATCTCATTTCATAAAAATAGTAAGATTGCGTTGTTACTGGGCCATTGTCACTATTCAATTAGGACCTTGGATTGGACTGGAAACCAGCCTCATTTCATGAATTGCAATGAACTTGCATAACCTCTAAAACAAGGTGATAGGCTTAAAGTCAAACACTGGGTGTGACTGCGTGTGCCCATGACCACAGATGGCACCCAGCACCTCTCCTGCAAGTAGGACTAATAGGAGGGAGGACTCATGGACACAAACATACCGATTCTGTTGCAAACTCCACCATTCACCCCATTTCCGACCCTGATCAGACCTCAGCAGAAAGCACACCGACTACTCTGATCTATAAACAAATGCTGAATCTACAGCGTGAGTGGCACCCCACAGCAGCCACCAAGCCTGCTGGTGGCATTCCACAGAGCACACACCCATCTGCAGGCTCAGGACGGGACATGAAAACTGGGCTATAACAGCAGGTCGGCCTGATCACACAGATGAAAACAATACGTCACTTCCGAACTATTCACGATCACTCTCACGCATGTAGTGATGTGGCCAGCACAGAAATGTCTAGCCAACACCGGCTTCCAGTGAACCAAACATTGTTGGGGGTGGAAATATTTATAGATCCACGTGAAAGGTCTCAGTGTGGCTCATGAGCAAGAGAAATGGAACGTGAGGCTCCATGGGGAGCTTGGGTGGAGAAACGTGAGCCGAGCAAATAGAATATCACACCACAGGGCGACACAGTCATGACACAGCATGGACACCACTGAAAAGAGACGCTTTCCCATGGTGAAGACCCCACGCGACCCTCTCCCAGGAATCCCAGTGGCACACGGGAGAAGAAGAGAGAGAGAACTCTTACTGGAGCCCACGGGAGTGGCTGAGATCTTTCATATCCGCGTCCTCATAATGCGGAGTGATCATGCCCACGCCACTATCACTCAGCATGCGTTTCCGTAGCGCAGGGTTCCACCAGTCTGACATTCTGGGAGAGAGAAGGACACCACACTTGTAAGCAAAGTCAGCCACGGGACCCCCTCTGTGCTTTCTCAACATGACTCTTGTCTCTGAATGTGAGGAGGGAGATTCCTCTTCAGTGGGCGTTTACTGGGTACTTCGCACTTATTACTTCATTTAATTTTCTCAACCATCAGGAACTATTTGTATGGTTCTGCCCTCTTCACAGATGAGAAAACTGATTTCAAGACAAAGTCATGACAATGTTACCATAAAAGAAGTAACGGAGCCTGACACAGAGATGCGGAGTAGAAAATAACAAAGCCCACCCTCTCTCTCTGTGCCGCTGTCCCCAGTTTATGTCCAGTGTGAGCCACTGAGGAGAAACAAGGAAGGGACTGACTCAAGGGCTTGTAGAGTCTCAGGCTACTTTATTTTTGGAGCAAGTTAATAGAGGTCTAACCCAGGACAAAGCCATTTCTTTTGGCCATGATTTGACCAAGGTGAGCTTGGGTTCACTCTTATCAGATCAAGGATAGGTCAGATCAGATGGATGTGAGCGGTCCCTTAGCCCAGATCAGGTGAGGTGGGAGGCCACCCAGACTCTAGTGCCTGCTGTTTCTGCCATAGGACTCAGCATCTCACTTGTTTTCCCCACAACTAACAGGATTGATTTATGGTACGCGGACCGTGAAGTTAGCCTTCTCTATTGTCTTCTGGAACTTCCAGGGTTGCATTAGACCACCCTTTGAACCTGTGGCTTTCCCTTCATGCCAAAGCAGCTCTGATATGGCTAGCTCTGGCTTCTAAACGCAGCTATACATCTGTTCCACCCTACAACTCCTGTCTTCTCTTGATGCCGCACACACTCAGTTTATACCACAGACATCAGCTGGCCCTGGTAGAGTGGGCACTCTCTCACATAACAGCAAGGGTCAGATAGACTAGAGAAGAAGCACAAGGGTTACTCCAGTGAGTAGCTTTATTTATACCTTACAGATATGTGCACACACTTCGCATGTGCTATTTGAGTGCATGTGTGTGCTCTCCAAGAAAGTCCTTATTTGAACTATTTAGCCTCCCTCTACCAGTCCACAGCTGAAGTTCATTAGACTTCACAGAGGGCAGAGATTTTTGTCTCTTCTGATTCTTGGTACTTTTGTTCCCCAAGAGCTTATACTAGTACCTGGCACATAAAAAGCTCTAAGTAAATATTTTTTAATTGTTGAAATAACCTAGAAATATCAATAACATTTCAGACATTCAATGTAATGGTTACATTCATGGGCGTTGACATCAGAAGCCCTGGAAGTACCTCTCAGTTTTTCCATTTATTTTCTGTGCAACACTGGAAGGTTACAAAACCCTCTAGATGTCAATTTTCTTATCTGTGCATTTAGGACAATAATAGTAGCGAATTAGCAGGGTCATTATGAAATAATGCTAAAGATTTTAATAACATAATACTTAATGAGTATCTATTAAGTGCCAGGAACTATTCTAAATGCTTCACATGAATCAATTCATTTAGTCTTCAAACAGGTCTATAAGTAGGTATTATTATTCCCATTTTACAGATGAGGACACAAGCACAGATAACTTAGGATGATTAAGTCACTATGGAGCGGTGGTAGGGAGATAAGAAAGGCATTCAGCACAGCATGTGGCTCATAAGTGCCTGGCATGTGACAGTTATTATTATACAATGTATATGTTTCAGGCTGCTTGGATATAGCAAAAACGGAGGAGGAGGAGGAGGAGGAAGAGGAGAAAAATAATTGTCAAATCACCTGTGTCAATTTTTATTTGGCTAATACAGACATTGAAGATATATATGCACAAATGCAAATCCTAGCGCTTTCTGGTTGATAGAAAGAGTAGGCATGGTGGGCAAAGCAGGCTCGGACACGGTACCAACCTGGGCGGGAAAGAGTTTCTATGCAACCATTCGTAAGACAGACTTACAATGAAAACAGCTCTACAGCTCTCTGATGAAACACGACCAGAACACCTGCACAGTAGCCCCAACTTGTCCACGGTTTTACTTTTTGCTTTCAATTACCTGTGGTCAACTTTTGTTTGAAAATATTAAATGGCAATTCCCAGAAATAAACAACTCATAAGTTTGAAATTTCCTGCCATTCTGAGTAGCCTGATGAAACCTTATGCCGTCCCCCTCTGTCCACCCGGGCGTGAGTCATCCCTCTGTCCAGGGTCTCCACACTGTGTACACTACCACCCATTGTCACTTAGTGGCTGCCCATCTCAGTCATAAGATTGGTTATCACAGAGGGAGGGAGGGAGGGAGGGAGGGAGGGAGGGAGAACATTCACATAACTCTTATAATAGTATATTGTTGTAATTGTTCTAGTTTATTATTAGGTGTTGTTTTTAATCTTTTATTGTGCCTAATTGATAAATTAAACTTTATAATACGTATATATGTAAAGAAAAAACATAGCATGTAGGGTCTGATACCATCCACAGTTTCAGGAAGCTACGTAGTGGGGAGCGGGGAGAGTTGAATCATATGTCCCGTGGATAAGGAGGGCACTACTGTACTTTAAACTAGTCTGATGGCATTGGAAAGGTCAGTTCCGAAGCTGAATAAGACAGCGATGGCCAGTCTCGCCGCACTCACCCTGAGGCTTGCTCCACCACCAGGTCGGGCATTCCTGGAGGTGTCCCCGCCTGCTGTGACAACACCATATCTGGGTCCAGGATAAAAACCTCATCTTGGGAAATCTCCATCACAAAGTGCAAATGTTCCTAAGGGAGAAAAAGAAGTCAGATGATTGACAGGACACTGACATCCATCATCTGAGACCCAACACCACAAAGCATCTTGGTCTGGAGGAATAATGAAACTGTGTGATGTACCAAATGACCACAGTGACTTTTCAGAGGCCTGGCCAGTGGACGTCCCCGCTCCGCCACCCCCCACTAAAGCAACATCATAGCAAGAGGCTGGGGAGGGACAGAGGTGAAAACCTCTTGGTTTGGGTTCCTAGTTGAACAGGATCTTGTTAGGTAAAATCAGAGATGGTCTTGGCTCTTCTTCCCCAGAACTATCCAAGAAGTGACACCCCACATGGAACTTGGTCCAACATGAGTGCACAGTCACTTGGATTTCCAGCCCCCAGGATGTGGTCAGGCTAAATGGCATAGTCAACAACTGGTTTTACCACCATATTCCACGCTGTACTTTCATTTTGCAGGAGAATTTGGACAGTGAGAACACTTGTTATCATTGGGCATAAGCACTTCATTTTCTTGTTATTGAACTCTGGGAGGTGGTAAGTTGAAACTAAGTAGCCTGGATATATATTTCAGGTCTCAAACTTAAGGTCTCAAACTAAAAGGCATACAATTTGACGAGAAAGTGGTATATATTAGTAGTGTGAATAAAAATTTGAAGCGCAGCCTGGTGATACTATTTACAAGTCTACTTATCTTTTGTACTCACTTAAAAGGTCAAGCCATATTATCTTCAATCCACAAATCATAAAACACAAGAAGACAAATAAAAAGCTCCCAGCTTAGGAGGGATGTAAAATGTAAAATGTAAAAATGTTTCGGTGTTTTAGCTACAAAAATTTGTAAGATTAGCTACAAATAAAGCATAGGTACTAGGGAACTTTTAATTGTCATTGGTAGGCTCAAGAAAACTTACCTGAGATCTGTCTATTCGATAAAAGCGATCAGCAGAAGTTGCTAGGAAAAAAAAGAGAAGTATATGGCATTCAGAGTGTCCTGTGATCAGGCGCTTAATTTCTAACCTCTGTCTTACTAGGTCAATTGGAAACCTTCCACTCCAGGCATGCAGACTGCTGACCAGTCCCTAAATCTACTAAGAAAAACCCAAAATTTCCACACCTCTGCTGCTACTATCTCCCTGTTGAGGAAGCCCAGCATTCCCCATCACGTCTGCTTGCCTAAAGCTTACTTGTCCTTTGAGGACCAACTGAAAGGTTCCCTCGTCTGTGAGACCTCCCTCAGTCCCACCTCCCCACCCTGTACCCCGGATGGAATGCACTGCTTCTACCTCTACGCTTCTGTTTACGCTGCCTTCACAGATAAGTAACTACATGACTAAGGTATCTGCCTCTTTAAAGGTCTGGGATTCCCTTATTCTTTTATGTCTCCAGACAGTAGGACCTTAAACAGAGCTGGGACTCCATGTGTATTTATTAAATAAATAAAGCTAGGAGAAAACAAAACACAAAACTCTGGGTAGCCAGACTTCCCAAAAAAGTGATTCTTATTTTGGAAAAGATCTTGAAGAGACGGATGAGCCGGGGTCCACATCTGGTATCAAAGGAATCATTTCACCTTCAGGCTGAGTCCCTAAGCTATGGCTGGAGAGAGCCAAAGAGCAATAAATAAATAATAATATACATTACATGTAATATCTGTAATTGGAGCATTTGCAAAAGGGACCGGGCTTTAGCTCTGGCTTGCAGAGAAAGAATCTTACAAACTTGGGTCTTTAGAAATTATTCTTTTTATTCTTAATATTCAAGAAATTATGTTTCTCCTTGCTTATATTTATCTACCAAGAGTCCAAATATCATACATAGATCTTCCACATAGTGCTAGAGGGAAAAACTCAAAATGCAAATAATCATTCAAAAATCCTACACGTTTGATGAGTAGCTTTTCTACAAAGTCAAGGAGCTAAGAAACCACACAGTCAAGGCTCCTGCCCTGTAAAAGCAACGGGGAGAAAGACCTGCCCGAGAAGGCCTTGCTCTCCTCTGTTCTTTTTAACCATGACCACACCACCTTTTAAAGGTTCCTAATAAAACTATTTATAGAGTAAAACTAACATGTGGATTAAGACCATTATCCACATTTGTAATTTGGAACAGATTGTATGTAGTACAATTCATACACATTTTCGTAATTTTCCTAAATATAAGCCATGTGGATACAGGAAAAATGTGATTTTGTTTCTCATCACCAGGGAATAAAAGAGCTGGAGGAAAAGCCACGTGATTTACCTTCAGAGGGAGTTGACAAGCCATTAATGAAAACCTATGTCATGATTTACGCGTGTTAGCTTTCAGATAGGCACACATGCTCATCGTCATGATACTGCTCATACATCACACGTCCTGTCATACTCTTACCCACACTTCTGTCATCTCGGATGCATACACAGATAAACAAAGAGAGGTCTGTGATGAAAACCACGTAGACAAGAGAGCTACTGGGTGGCAGGTACACTTGGGAGCATACAAGCCGGAATGGACCACAATAAAGGTAATTGGATAGAAAAGTAGAATTGAGCAGCATCTAGGGAATGAGAGATGCTGGCAATGAAAAATGGACTCATTAACCAATCAGAAAATAACTGACCTATTACGCATTCAATGTCATGCTCAGCAGGGCACATATGAATGCAACTGAAATTTTCTAGGCTTTGATAAATATGTATCACACTGAAATGATGGTTTAATGAAAATAATATGAAAGTTCTCAAACATGCAAGTAACATACCCATCCCATGGTTATTGAACTATCTACTGGCCTCTCAACATGTTTTAGGAAGCGAGGGGGGAGGGGTGCAGAAGCAATGGAGGGAAACGTCAGCTTAAGCAATCTGACTCTGAGAAGGTCAGCCGGAGGAGCTGACCACTCGCTGTGAGGGAAATGACTTCCGAAAGATGTGCTGCCACATCAGCAAGCCCACGTTGTCGAGATGCAAATGCCAACCCTGTGGAGCCACATGCAGGGTTTCTGAAGAGTCTCTTGGGAAACTGGAGTCCACATCATCAGTGGCTGCTTTGCCCAGCTGCTTCCCGAACCCCCACCCCACGCTGAAATATGAAACACTCACCATCTAGAAAGCACCAGCGTGGGGAGAGCCTCTGAGCGGAGAGGGCCCTGGGGAAGGAGGTTTCTTGGTCCTGGAAAGAGACACACACATCCTGTGGCTCCATTTGAAGAAGGTGAGGGGCTGCCCTCGCTCTACATTCGGCCACATCGCCCATTTCTAAGAGCGAGCATCCTTTCCTAAACAAAGTATTTGTGAGAGACCAAATCATACTTTTTTTTTTACTAGAGACAGAAACAGGGGCTCTGCTTTGAAATGAATCATTTCACATGGAACTTTTTAAAACAACTCCCACATAACATTTCTAGGTTCTCAATGATTCCATTAAGCACTCATAAATGATAAAACGTGGAACATTTACTTCCTTTAAGGAATTTCTCTCTTTCTCTTTGTGATGCTCAAGAATTCGTGGCAGCTGGCTGTCGTTCACATTTGCTTTCTCCACATAGGAATGAAAAGTTCCCCAACTAAAAGAATCTCTGGAGGCAGAAACCTGTGATCTGTTTTCAACAAGGTAAGTCTAATGTATGCTCAAGTTTTAGAATCAGGCACCTTAAGTTACCAGAACAAAAGGGATATATTTTATTATTAAAATGCTGGGGTCTATGGCTTTTTAATATGTGTACCTTCTGTAAATTAAGTAACTGATAGAGGAAATTTGGTCTCTCTGAAGACTGGTACCAAATTTATATTTATAGATGTAGAATTGATATAGCTATGGATACAGAGATATATGTACATTCCTCACTTGGGGGCTAGCTTTGCCATACTACTAGTTAAGCTAAATGAAATTTTAACATGTGCTCAACATTTCATGAGAATTATGTTCAACATTTTGAAAATTATATTTTGACACGTGCTATCTTGTTTTTCAGAAACTTAAGGTTCCCAATGTACTTGTACAAAACATATAAAGCTATCAATATGTCTCAGTTTGGTGAGAAATACAATTACAAATTGAGGAATTTGAAAGGTATTTGAAATATTTAGTGGCAACTATGAAAGCTAATAAATAAACATATTAAATGAACATGGCAGTCTTCTCTAAGAGTAAAAGGATTTAAACACCAAGGATACTTTCTGAATTCTGAGGTCAAATATGCTACAGAGACAACTATGAAAAAAATCCTAATTTTCCTAGGTTAAAATCAACTCTGAAAGAATAAAGAAATACTTGATTTATCATTTATAAAACCTAAACATCAATAATGGTATCGCTAGAATATTCAAATGAGAAAATATTGGATACTATTTAGTATAATTTAATAAAATGCAGGTTGATATATCGCCTCAGCCACATGAATGCTTACCCACAGGCTGCTAAAGTAATACTGATCTGTGTCTGCAGAATTTTATGCATTTGCCTGACTTTTATTTGTTTATTTTGCCTATTTTCTGTTCCATTATTTATTCTCACCTTGATCCGCAAAGCATTTGATATCAATCAACTGCTTCCACAAGATTTTGTTCAAAGAGAACTTTATCAGTTTGCTCTGTGAAAACATATGGTTGCACCGAGCTCTTTAAACCATTTCAAATAGGCTCAAATAGATCCTTAAAACAAGTCCAACAACCCTCGAACTCCCTGATGTTTTATGCTAAATTTGGGGTGTCTACATGTACGTGTGTTTTCCTAGGTAGAGGAACTACTGTTTTCTGTAGATTAACAAAGATTAAGAGCTACTAATTCAAATAATCTAATATTTAGGTCAGAGACAATTCAATAAAAATAAGATTCTAATCAATAAAATGCCTTAACAATATCCAGACACACAAGAACAGCAATTACTATTTCAAAGTTATCGGTGATTATAGTATCAAACAAGAGAAGCTCTCCAAGCTCTGTAGCAACTCTTGGTAGCGGGCTAACTTCGGGCGCACTGCTACACGGAAGGATGCGATGAACTTTTTGCTTATTTTCTATCTAAGGCCCCTCTCAAATGTTTTTCAGCCCTTTAAATAAGGTGCTGTAAGTTTTCCTAATGTTTAAAACAAACAGACAAGAGGAAAACCTACTTATATGGAATACTGGGCTGTCTTAATAATTGAAGTTAAGTAACACTTTATTAATTAAAGACACAGAAATTTCATGAAAAAAACTTTTATTGAAAAATAATTGGACACTTTCCCGGTCACCTGAAGGTTAAACTGCAATCTTAGAAAATGGTTAGAGAAGCCCAGGAGCTGCCCTAACGTCTCCAAACAGGCTTCCCAGAACAGGTCTGTATCCTCTCCCACCTTTTTGGAAGATTTCAACTTTGTTAAAAACAGCAACAAAAACCTCTTAAGGGGACAGTTACTAACATAATGAATGGCTTATGTTAACTAACAAAGTGGCCTATGTTAAAGGCCATTTGAATTCCAAAGGAAAAATGTGCTACCTCCTCAATCTAGTGAATATTTATAATGCAATGCAATTAAATTAGTTATTTATAAAATATTTACATGTTAAAAAGATACACTAAGAGCTGCGAAGCCTGGACAAAATTTTCCCTTGGGTCTAGTGTGGTGCACACATATCTGTGCAGATGGAAGGATCTCGCCTGCATTAGGACCCTGAAGTTGGAGATTTTCCTGAAACTGGTGTTAAAATGATATTTGAATGCAGCAGATTGACAAACTATGGAACATACCCACACAACATCCCAACACACTGTAAGGAACAAAGAAATCTGGCTACTACACATGCCCAGATGCTGGGATGTCATCTACGAGATCGGAGGGAGGAGGGCAGGCCGGACACACGACATCTGGTGGGCACTGAGGTCGTCGTATTTAACCGGAGTTGAAAAACTGAGCAAAAAGTACTTTTAGTAAGAAAGTTCTGCTTTGGAAAACTTAAAATTCTGTAGGATGAGATCAGAAGACTAAGAATTGAGATGACAGAAATGTTCCTGTCCTTGCAGTAGTACTTAAATATCATAGGAAAATAGGTGGATAAATAGGCAGAAAAAACCAATGCAATTGATTGTATATAGATGATCAGCCTCAGGTGACTAGCAAGCCCAGAGACATGGGACTCTGATGACCAAGAGCACCAGCTGTGAGCACCTGACGACCCTGGCTCCATCGCCTACTCACTGTGAGATTTTAGGCACGTGTCTCACCTCTTCTGTGCCTTGGATGCCTCCTTTGGAAAATGGCAACCATAGTATCTATTGCACAGGGGTTTGGGATGAATAAATGAAATGACATGGAAAATGCTCAACCCATTGGCTAGGACATGTCGATATGCAGATACAATCATGCTAGACAAGTGATACTGGGGCAGCCGGGACAACATCATTTTACCTGAAATAATTCTGACCTTTAACCACTTGAGGAACTTACAGGACATCAGCCACATTTCAGACCTGATCATTCAGATGGTACTATACCAGCACAACACTGTTTTATCCATAAATGCATTTGTTATCAGACTCTGAGGTTCAAAGGAAAGAAATGGGACAGATTCATGTAAGTGGACACAGAAAAGAATGACATCAAACAGAGGCTGAGATCGCAGCGCTGTTGGTTTGGTGTTTGTAGGGTTTGTCTTAATCAAAAATTTGATGCCTCTTTTCACAGTATTAGAAGCTACATAATTGTCTTAAATATAGGGTATTGTCTTAAAGGCTGAACATCTTCTATCACCAACAACATTTTTGAGAACTGTTTATCTTACTGACCTCTCCTCATTTCAGTAATATTCCCCATTCAAAGGTAACCATGCTTACTAGATATTGGCTTAGTTCCACCAAGATTGTTATCTTTTTATTTGCTGATTTGGGTTGTCAGTTGCCACATAACTATCCATTTTTATTCCTGTGACACAATTAGGAGCAATCTCTTTGGTTTGTATTTATGAAAGCTAATGAAGTACAAGGCATGTGGTCTGTAAGGTCAAGAACAAAAAGCATCAGCCATGTCTTCCAAGGTGTCTAAGGCGCTGTAAGCCATCTGGGTGCTCCCAAGTTCCTTTCTTGCTACAATTTCTGGAGTTGCTCTGTGTCTGATTTATCAGATTTCTACTTCTTTTCCCAAGGGATGGCTATTGTGATTTTAATTTATTGCCTGCCTGTTGTTCAAAGTCACCGATTTCAAGGGAAGGATTTTGAGCCAGCTGCCCAGAGAACTGGAGTCTGATCAGGGAAAGATCAGAAGACACTAATGGCTGGGAAAGCGAGTGGAAGGCTCAACCCATGTTTAAGAAATCCTTTTCCTTCCAAGTCTAAAGTTTGGGGCCAACAACCTTGGGAGGGGGCAGAAGTTTTCAAATAGTCCTGATGTATAGCTAAGATGAGCCAAGTGGTACAATCCTAAATCATACAGTCCACTTACACAGAGGCCAGTTGTCATGACGTCAAGCAGCGCAGAAGACTGCTGGTTCTTGCTTCTCCTTTAAGGCCTCCGCCTCCAGCTTCTGCCCTGACTCATTTCCATTGTCTGGCATTAAAGGACAATCTCACCAAGCTGTCAGCTATTCGGTGAATAACATTTTGGGGACTGGTAATCATTCTTTCCTTTTCCTGCACTTAGAGTATGCTCTCCCTTTTTTTTTTTTTTTTTTAACTTCTGGGAATTTTCCATAAACATTGCTCTTTTGAATTCCTTGATGGTTCCATATGAAATAAAATTTAGACTTATCAGCCTTTTTCTGTTATTCCATCTACTGAATACGCTCATATTTGGGAAATGTCCCCCAGCAGAATATGTGTACGAGAAATTTTTATTATTTACTTGGTTTTCAGGCTACCTGGCCACTGCCAGAGCTCATTTAGAAACATGAGGCTGTGGTCTTGTTTAGTAGCTTGATTTTAATCCATATTCTTATGCTATTTTTAAGCCATATTCATTCTGTCATTAAGAAAAGGTATAATCTAGGCCCTGTACAGTATCTATCCTACCACCCATCCCAATATCCCTCCTGAACCTCTTTTCCAGCACCTAAAAGCAAGCTGCGGATGAAGAACTGCAGCGAGTAGACTCTCGGCAGTATCCATGTGTTAGGTGGTGGAGGTGAAGTTCAAGTGCAGCCCTCTTTTACTAGGCAGCACATGATCTTACACACCAAGTTTTATGCCTTCTAGGGAA